GTAGAAGGGAATTTTGGGAGCATCTGAGCTCTCTGCGGAGTAGTAGGGAGGATAACTGGGTGATTGTAGGAGACTTCAATGTCGCTATTTATGAAAGTGAAAAGGAGGGTAGATGTCCTCTTAGATACGAGAATGTGGAACCTTTTAAAAGGTTTATTTTCAACAATGCTCTTATTGATCTAGGGTTTAAAGGAGAACCCTTCACGTGGACCAATAAGCGTATTGGCGAAAACACAACAAGAGTTAGATTAGACCGAGTGTTGTGCTCGACTTCTTGGAGAGTCTTATTCGGTGATGCAACTGTTTTCCATGAAAATATGGTTGAATCGGACCATTGTCCAATCAGGCTGGAACTCAGTTACAGAGGTAATAGGAGGAGGAAAACACCATTCAGAGTGGATGAAAGATGGTTGGAAAAGGAAGAATGCAAGGAGATTGTGGTTCGAGCTTGGGACCCGGGAGGGCAATCGTCTAACCAGTTGGCCAAGTGTGAACAAGACCTTAAAGATTGGTCGAAGGACTTCCATAGGAATAGTTTACAAAGGGAGAAGGAAATACTTGATCGTCTTCACATACTCCAACGCCCTCCTAGATCTCAGGAGAGGGTTGAAGAAGAAAAAAGCCTTTTGGAGGAATTGGCTAAAATGTGGAGGGATGAAGAGGCCTTATGGAATCAGTGTTCAAGAGTGAAATGGCTACAGAAAGGTGATCAGAACAACTCTTTTTTTCATTCCAGCACGATCCATAGAAAGCATAGGAATAGAATTCTTAGACTAAAGGATGATAGAGGAAATTGGGTTGAGGATGAGAATAGGCTTAAAGGTCTGGCCCAGGATTTCCACAAAGACCTTTTTAAGGCTAGAGACCATATTCCCTTTACCCACCTTCTGGATGGATTCCCATAAAAGGTCACAGCTGAGATGAATGAAGCGCTTTGTGCCCCCGTAACTAGTGAGGAAATTAGGAAAGCGGTCTTTTCTCTGGGCGCAAAAAAGGCCCCAGGCCCGGATGGCTTCTCGGGTAGGTTCTACCGAAGATTCTGGGAGATTATTGGGGAAACGGTTTGTATAGAGGTTAAAGAGTTTTTTGGGACGGCAGTTATGCCGGATGGATGGAATGATACTCATATAGTCATGATTCCGAAGGTGGACCACCCAGAGTTGATTAGCCAGTTTCGACCAATCAGTTGCTGCAATTTTAGATATAAAATTATATCAAAAATTATGGCAACCCGATTGAAGATCTGGACGCCGGATCTGATCTCGGAGCTGCATACGGCGTTTACAGGAGGCCGACTTATCCAAGACAATATCATTATTGTCCACGAGGCCCTCCACCATTTCAAAAACCATAAACGGGGAAGGAGAAGGGACATGATGCTCAAGTTGGACATGAAGAAGGCATATGATATGGTGGATTGGGAGTGCCTAGAAACACTGTTGGGAAAGTATGGGTTCGATGATAGATGGTGCAGATGGGTTAGCTCGTGCATCCGGACGGTCAATTTCTCCATCCTTTTCAATGGTAAAGCAACTGAGGAGTTCAAACCGTCCAGGGGGATCAGACAGGGAGACCCGCTTTCCCCTTTCCTTTTCATTTTAATGTCTAATGCACTAACCTTCCTGATTGATAAAGCTGTGTCCCAGGATCAGTTAAAAGGAATTAGATTGAACGCGAGATGCCCGATTCTCACCCATTGTATGTTTGCTGATGATACAGTGATTTTTGGAAAGGCTGACCAACAAGAAGCGGAGAGAATCCTAGACCTGATAAGAGAGTATGGAGCCATCACAGGTCAAGAAGTTAATATCAACAAGTCATCCGTGTTCTTCAGTGCGAATGTCCCTGATGCGGACAAAGCGGCAATCATTGCTCACATCGGTTTTGCCTCTTCCAACTGTCATACCAAGTACTTAGGGGTGCCGATGGAATGGGGGAATTCAAAGAAGGAAACTTTTCAATTCCTGATTCAAAGAATGGAGAAGATGGGGGAAGCTTGGAAAAGCCTACTCCTTTCCCATGGTGGGAAAGAAGTTATGCTAAAAGCAGTCATCCAAGCTATTCCTTCCTACATCATGTACCTCTTTAACCTCCATGTGAACCTCACCAAGAAGATGGACTCTCTCCTCACCAACTTCTTCTGGTCAGGGTCAATGCAGAAAAGCACCTTACATTGGTGTAGGAAGGAGATTCTTTGCGCTCCAAAGTCAGAAGGGGGTTTGGGTTTCAGGAGCTTCAAAGATTTTAACATGGCACTGTTGGCGAAACAAGCATGGAGAATCCTTACTTCCCCGAATGCCCTTTGGTGTCGGCTCCTTAAGGGTCTGTACTTCCCGAGAGGAGGATTCATGCAATCGAAGAAAGGAAATAGATCCTCCTGGATCTGGGCAAGTCTTTTGGAGGCAAAGAAGGTTATCAACATGGGAGCAATTAGAGTAATCGGGTCAGGGGAGGATACATGGAGTGGTCAAGATCCCTGGATTCCAAGCATGCAGAATTTTGTCATCGGAAGCGGCCCCCAGCAGAACCTGAGGGTCAAGGAATGGATAGACCCAGTTAGTAGAAGCTGGAACACGGATTTACTCCAAGGTCATGTGATGACGAGGGAAGAAGTGGAGGCTATTCTTAAAGTCCCAATTGGGGAAGAGCGATCTGATGATTTTTGGGCTTGGAGCCTCACTCGAGAGGGAGATTTCTCTGCCAAAACGGCATACCACGTTGTTCACAAAGCCAACAATAATTTCCAGACGACAGGAAGCGAAGAGAGGTGGAAATGGATTTGGGGACTAAATATCCCGCCTAAGCTTAAGTTTTTTATTTGGAGATGTTCCAGAAATGGTTTGGCAACGAAAGCAAGACTCTTCCAACGAAAATGTGCTCCTAACCCGAATTGCCAAGTGTGTCATAACCCTTTCGAGTCCATTAACCACTGCCTCTTCGATTGCCCTCATGCGAGAGAATCATGGAACAACATTTTCCCATCCCTTCCGATTCCTCCTAAGGGCACCTCTTTCTTGGATTGGCTCTACTCCCTCAAAGATACCAGCCCTCCTAATTCACTGACTCATATTATATTCCTGTGTTGGAACATTTGGAAGGCTAGAAACGAGTGCACGTTTAAGAATAGAGTCCCCTGGCCCCCAAACGTGTGTCTACAAGCGTACAGAGATCTGACGGAATGGTTTGCTTGCCCGAGGCCCCCACCTCAAGGTTCAGATGGTCCCAATCAGCTTAGGGGAACCCACCCTATTACGAATCCCCCGCCAAGCAATCACTCGATAGTGATTCAATGTGATGGGTCGTTCTTTAGCGACTCCCACTCGGCGACATATGGTGTTGTTGTTGTTAACCACCATGGACAAGTGTATGATGGGAGAGCTGATAATCTTCTTTGTTCCACCCCGATTGAAGCGGAAGCAAAGACTCTCTTAGAAGGAATTAAATTAGCACAAGAATATGGATCGGTATGTACAGTGCAAACTGACTGCCAAATTCTGGTGAAGGCCCTCAAGCATGATCAATCGCGATGGCCCTGGAGATGTGCATCATGGATTAGAACAATTGTCAATATCCTTAGGAACAATCCCTCCATTTCAGTGGAAGAGATTCCGAGGGCTTTGAACGTCAGAGCTGATTGGGTTGCACGATCAAAAGCTAGATCTTTTCTGCCAGATGACTGGATTAATATTCTTGATCTAATTTCTAGGCTCCTTTAAGAATGTAATAGCCTGTTTGCTTGTTTTTCTCTTTTGTGGAATAAAAGATGGTTTTATTTGTCAACAAAAAAAAAAAAAACAACCTCAACCACAATCGACCGTTTCTCCAAGGACTATGGGATCCTACACTCACTCAAGTGTAACTCTAATACTCTATGGGTTGACAAATCGAGTGTTTACTAATTTCTGCCAGGGTGCGTTTGGATACAATGATTTGGATTTGGTATTTGTGATTTGGATTTCCAAATACCAAATAATGTGTTTGGATATTAATTACATTTGGTATTTGGATTTGTGTCAAATTCATGGGGTGATTTCCAAATACATGTCTAGTGTATTTTTTGTCAACTTCAAATACATTTCAACAACTAGTGATTTGAAATACCTCCTAACAAAAGAATGGACCTATTTGTAAAATATGAAAAGTTTAGGTACTATAGTGTGAGGCAAAACATATAAAGGTACCAAAATGTAATTTTACCATCAAAATTCCAGGACCTTTTTGTAAAATTTTAAAAGTTTAGGTACTAAATTGTAAGAAAAAATAATTTTGGGTACCAAACTGTAATTTACCAAAATTTGTAGTAAGTGACCAGAAAATTAAAAATTGAAATTGAAAATCATAAAATACAAAATACAAACAAATTACAAATGAGTATCCAAACAATGAATTTGAATTACATGTATTTTAAATGCTAATATTTCAAATACCTTACATTTAAAATCCACTTATCCAAACGCACCCCCAGTATTTGGGACAACTTTTTCCACGTATATAGTAGGGGTGGCTATTTAGACCGGGACCGGATGAAAAACCGGAAACCGGACCATATAACCCGGACCGAGACCGGACCGGGACCGGATAGTAAACAATCCAATCCAATCTTTGGGCTTAGATTTGAGGTAAAAAACCGGATAAAGACCGGATAAGAGAACTCAACACCCAAAACTTAAGGGTAATTTGCATAAACGGTCACAAACCTTTGCACTTAGTACAAAACTTAACCAACTCCTCACCCTTTTAGGCCTTAGGCCACTCAAATTCCCACAATCTCAATATAAAATCAAGACCGAATTGGGACCGGACCGGGTCAAGACCGGACCGGATCAAGACCGGACTGTATCCAATCCAATCTTCGGTCCTTATATTTTCAAAAAAACCGGACTGGACCGGATCAATTTGGGCCAATTTAACCGGACCGGACCGTATAGCCACCCCTAGTATATAGATTAATCTTTTACCAATTTCTTGATCGGGCAACCTTGCTAATTTTGCGGTTGTTTTTTCACTTTTTATTTTTTCTCGAGCTTTCAATCATCACTTTACATAAGACGAAGGCAACTGTCTCTCATCCTCCTCCTCCTCTCTCTCTCTCCTTTCTCCTTCCCTCGCTCTCTTCTGTATTTTGTCTCTCTTTATTGGTTACTTCAGAAATTAGGGTTTTTTCTTTTTGGGAGAATTGAAATGCGGTGAGCCATGGAGGAACCTGAATCAGCCAATTCCATTGCTGATCCCAGTGGAGCCAGCCTCCTCGAGATTCAATCTCCCTCTCCCTTAGCCCCTGTTCAGGATCCAGATCCTCAACCCTCCTCATGTGAGCATGCTCTTCTTGATCACGCCGCTGACAAGGATGAAGAGCAGCTGGAGCAGCTTCATCAGCTGGTTGAGAAGCAGCTGCAGCTGAAGCAGCCCCTCGGCGAAGAGGAGGGGTTGGTGGTGCTGGAAACTGAGAGAGATTCGAGCCAGTTAAATGGCCAAAGAGAGGTTGAGGAGCAGTCGGTGGAGCAACATACCAATGGAGAGAGTGATGTTCTGGAAGAACCAAATGTTCGGAATATGAACGAGGGCGCTGAGACGGTGGAGGAGAATGAAGGAGACGAGGAGTGGAAGCAGACAAAAAGTAATGGCGGTGGGATGATTAGGCAGCACCAGTTTCCGGTGAGGCCTGAAGCCGAAGACTGCTCTTACTATATGAAGACAGGGAATTGCAGATTCGCCTCCAACTGCAAATTTAATCACCCGGCTAAGCAGAAAACCCAGGTCCGAAACTGTTTTTTTCCCTTCTTCTTTGTAAATGCATTTTCTTGTTCTTCATTTTCTTTATCCCCGACCCTAAATGAGTTGATTTTCAGACCCTATGTTTATGTGGATACTGTTTTCAGTCGGTTTGATTCTATTCTGATAATTGGCCATATAACGAGCATTGTAATTAAGGTTTTGCTGACCTCTTCGTGTTTTGGTATGTGAAAGGTGACGAGGGAAAGAATGGGGGAGAAAGAAGAATCAGCAGAGAGACCAGAGCAGATTGAATGCAAGGTTATTTGTTGCCTTTATATAATCTGACTATTGTGTGTGTACGTTTTCCTTTTCATGGTGCTGCTTTTCTAGATATTCCGTTTGCATAATTGCAGTATTAGTAACTCATGAGGCTGGTACTTTTGGCCTGAGTGTCTTCTCGAGCAGGATGTGATGGTTATTTCAGTAGGACGTTATCTGCGTTAGTTTAGCTATGGATAAAATTCGCTATTACAAGATTCACAATCCACACTAGACCAGAAGTTTCTCCATTTCTACGTTTTCATATACCGGGCCATTGGAACTTTTAAAGTTCAGTATTCTGGCTGATACTTAAATCTCACCTCACTTGGGAATCTACATTTTTCTTGTTCCGTAGGCAGGAAACTGGGCTATAGATTTGGGCATGGGAACTGTCAGGCAACTTATTAACTGTCAAGCTTAGTGGGAATCTCTCATTTAGGTTCCTAGTGAATAAGTCATCCCTTGCACCAGTTGTTGCTTGTTAAACTCTTTTCTTGTTGGCGTCGTGATTGGCTATTCAAGTTAATAATTTATTTTTCTGGTGATGTAATTGACTCAAGCTTTTTTATAGTATTACTTGAGGACAGGGGGCTGTAAGTATGGGAAAGCTTGTAGATTCAACCACTCAAAAGTGAGAACTCCAGCCGTCTTTGCAAAATCACCAGTGGTGCAGATTCTTGAGTTTAACTTTCTTGGTCTACCAATCCGACCGGTATACCTTTCACTTTTGCAAATTAGATATCAGGTGTAACTTTACGAATTGCTGGATAAAGGAACGCTCATGTGTGATTTGACCTTCCTCAGGGAGAGAAAGAGTGTCCATATTATATGCGCAATGGCTCGTGCAAGTATGGGTCAAACTGCAGGTTTAATCATCCTGATCCTACAGTGGTGGGGGCCAATGAACATTCTTCACCAATTGCTAATGGTGGATCTTCATCCATCAATGCTTCATCACATTCAAACATACCACCATGGTCTCCCCCACCGCCACGACCAGCACTGAATGACACTCCCCCTAATGTCCCAATATTGTTTCCCTCAAATCAAAGCACAAGTTCCCAGAATCTTGAATGGAATGGTCATCAGGTATTGAATGTTGTTTGGATGAACTTACGGATTTTTGTATCTGTGCCTCTTACCCCTTGTCTCACAGGTGCTCTCTAAACTTAATTTTACTGCTCTTCATTTCGTCCCTGTGTTCTCATTCCATGCAGATACATGATCTTACCACATTACAGATCCTCCAATATTTACCCTAGATTGCGAACTCTGTTAGAACTGGAATTGTATTTTTCACTCATGCTCTGTACCTTCTCAGCAAACCATACCCTTTATAGCGTCTAACAAGAATCTGTAACTGAGCAAGTTAGGAAGAAAGTTACACGGTGCATGTAATCAATGCTTCACAAAGAGGTGTACGTATAATTGTCTAGAGGCACATAATACAGTGATTGTTGCTGGGAGACTCAAAAGAAAGGGTTTTAAGAACAAATAGTTCTCAACACTTAGTTGCTATCTGCACTTGAACACAACCTCTGATGCTTTTCTTGTTTTTATTGGACTTGATGTTTATGCGCCCAATTTGCCAAACCCATGTGTCAATAAAACGTAGTAAGCTAAAGTGATATCTTGTGCAATAAGATTGATAATGTTTCCGTGTTACCCTGTGCATTCTTTTATTTTTGAAAGAATGCTCGTCTTAATATTTGTCTGTACATTCTCTGTTTGTGGCTTGTCAAGGCTCCTGTATATCCACCGCCAGAGCAAGGTATGGCTCCTTCTCATATGCCATATTTCATGATCAACCCTGCGATAGGAACCAATATTTACAGTCGTCAGCAACAACCGATGGTAGTAGATGAGTACCCAGAGAGGCCTGGTCAACCGGATTGCAGTTATTTCTTGAAAACTGGGGGGTGCAAGTTTAAGGGCAACTGCAAGTTCAATCATCCTAAAACTCGGATCACGAAATCACCTTCCTGTATTCTTAGTGATAAGGGCCTGCCATTGAGACCTGTAAGTTCACTTTATCCTATATAGTTCATTGCAAAATTCCAGTGCATTTAGAGTCGCTCTTTGCGCAGAGCCCATATGAAATTTTAGTAGTATGGTGCCTTATAGTTCTAAATGAATTGAGGGTTTTGAATGAGTTGGTTTAGAAAAGCTAGATTAAAGAAGTTTATTTGTTTCTTAAGACATGTTGTTTAGCCAAAGCAAGCGTACCCAACATCTAAACTACGGGAAAATCCATCACTGTTCTCAAATACTGATTGAATTTAACCGTCTTTCCTCTACCATTCCACCGCTTACCTTCCTTTATTATCATGAATCCAGGATCAGAATGTATGTGCTTACTACAGTCGCTATGGGATCTGCAAGTTTGGTCCTGCATGTAAATTTGACCATCCGATTCAAGTGGACTCCTCAACAGGGTCTCTTGATCGTCTTCAGTTTCGTGCCTTCGGAAACTCTGGCACTCACGAAGAAGATGACAGACTTGCCGAGAACGTACGTTCAAATATCTGACTGCCAGGCAGCCCTTGTAAACTTTTTTGCAGCTAGGTGCTGTGTTGTATCTTATAGGATCCATACTGGTGAAGCTGGTTTCAGTACTACTTTTCTGAAACCCTGGATAACTTGTGGAACCTTTCTTCTTTTTATTATTTACTGGGGTTGGGGACAGTGAGTGAGTGTTCAGCTGCCACAAGCTGTTCAAACTGTGGCATCATCCATCGTTTAAGTTAACCATGTGATGTGTGGCTGGGAAAAGTGAAGGCAGGATGTGTAAATTCTCACATTTTGATGTCCAGAAAAGTTTACCAGTTAGTTTCAGATACTTTCCTGTCCAAAAAATAGTTTCAGTTACTTGCGTAAGCCCTTGTTACCACCAGAAATTTGGCAAGCTTTTTCCTTTTGAAATATTCCAGGATTTACCTGGTAAAACAACTTTATTGGTTTGGAAAGTAGGCATAGATGTCCTTGAAGCGCTTCCCCGCCAGTTGGTATGTGATACAATCCTGGCTCGAGTTTCCTACTAGTGACACCTTCAGAATTTCTAAGAACTCTCTCATCAATACGACAACACTCTCTCCCTTGATGCAGAAGAGCTCCACCAATTCAGCACTATTGAGCAAGTGATGCATTCTAGCATCCCAGTCCGGGTTTTGGTAAAAATCCTCCCAATCTAGCTCTCATTGAGTCTCCTACTCAAACTTTATCCTACTTCTCGACCTTTCTCCCTTTGTGTGCTAGGTGTGAATTGCAGCAATGGATGAAGAATAAGCACTGGTGGCTAGGGTACATATAGTCATGCAGCTGGGTTCAAATGCTAAGTCATACTGAAGCATAGAAGACTTCGAAAAAAGACTTCGAGGTCCAGGAGTTTCACTTTACCGTGCACTATTGGTACCTTTGAAGTTTCTCGAAGCCTAGTCGATTATGGTGCTCGTATTAATGTGATGCCATATTGCATGTTTAAGAAAAACTGAATTTAGGAAGTCTTTGACCCATTCGTATGACAATTCAGTTAGCATAAAAATGGAGGATGTGGTGGTAGATGTAAGATCATTTACATTAACTGTAGATTTTATAGCTATGGATACTGGGACCGGTTACTATAACAACACCCATTGTGTTGTTATTGTAACAACACTAGTCCCCAACCAATAGGAAGTTAGGATTGTGATGACTTTTTATTAGATGAGTTGACCTAGTGTAAAATCAAAGCAGGGGTATAATTGTCATTATGAAAAATCTATTTAAATAAAAAAAATAAAAAATAAAAAAATATTGTTTTTATTTTCTGACCAAAAATTTGGTCGCCGGAATTCTGCCACCGGTCGCCGGAAAATGGTCGCCGGTCATCGGAATATGCTATTTATCGCCGGAATATGCTATTTGTGGCCGGAATATGCTTACCGGCGCCGGAATCTTGTCATCGGGGCCGGAATATGCCTATCGGCGTCGGAATCTACTCACTGACGATCATCGGAGTTTGGTCAATGGTCTTCGTTGACCGGTCAACGGTCTTCGTTGAGTTGACCGGTCAACGGCCAACGACCACCGGATGTTATTGTCTGCATTGTGAGATTTATGGTTTGGTTTCTCATATTTTTGTATGCCTTTTGTGGTTTGCTTTATCGTGTTTATGGTTTGCATTAAGAAGTTTCTGGTTTGCTTTATCGTGTTACTGGTTTGCATTAAGAAGTTTCTGGTGTGCTTTAAAATTATTTGTGGTTTGCTTTGCTGGGTTTATGGTTTGCTTTACGACATTTGTGGTTTGCATCAGGACGTTTCTGGTTTGTTTTAATATATTTTTGGTCTGCATTAGGACATTTTTGGTTTGCATTATGAGGTTTCTGGTGTGCTTTCGCAAATGTTGTGGTTTGCTTTGTGAGGTTTGTGGTTTGTTTTAGGAGATTTGTGGTATGCATTATGAGGTTTCTGGTTTGTTTTATTGTGTTTCTGGTTTGCATTGAGAAGTTTATGGTGTGCTTTCGAAAATTTTATGGTTTGCTTTGCGGAGTTTCTGGTTTGTTTTAATATATTTGTGGTCTGCATTAGGACGTTTCTGGTTTGCTTTCTGTGGTTTGCTTTACCGTATTTTTGGTTTGCATTAGAGGATTTCTGGTGTGCTTATGAAATATTTATGGTATGCTTTGTGAGATTTTTGGTATCGTTTAAAACACTTGTGGTTTATTTTAGAAGGTTTTTTATATGCTTTTTGTGGGTTGCTTTACCGTATTTGTGGTTTGCATTAAGAGATTTCTGGTGTGCTTATAAAATACTTGTGGTCTGCATACCAATAACTCCTAACTGCATCTAAAAAAACGCATAACTGCATACAAGGTTCAAAAAAGCGCTAGGCGTAAGGCGAGCGGTGTGCTCTTGACTAGCGCCTAGCCCGCTTAAGCGTTGCCTAGGCACGCCTAGACGTTCAAAGCAAAAATTAAAAAAAAATCTCACAATTTTGAATTTTCTGGAATGAAACTTCATATGATCACAATTAGCAACAACTAATTAGTTATTACCATTCACCAAACACAACTATATTTATAATACATGTATAACCGAGCGAAATAAAACATAATTTTTTTAGGACATCAAGATTAATTGCAACTAATGATGATGTTATTCCTAAATGCTAATAAAATAGGCACTTTAATTTCATTCCAATCTAATATGTGGCTTACTATCTAACGACCATGTAGCATTTTTTGGTTAGGTGTCAAACCTATTTGACATGTGGATGCATTTGAAGCATAAAGACATTAGAATTTAGAAACACTTAAATATAAACCATTAAGAACTCATATTTGCTTTTTAATTACCACTGCCACTACCTTTTGCCTTTCTAATTGTCCAGTCGCAAACAACTAACCCAGCCACCAAGCCCTAATTCTCTGCATCCCGTTAAACATCAACATGGCAGCAACAAACCGAAGTACAAAACAGAGCAACCATTATGGTGATTTACAGTAACAAACAAACATGGCCCCTGTAGTTCTGTGGTGATTTACAGTAACAAATAAATATGGCCCATGAAGGTAGGTAGGTAGGTACGTGAATGAATGCAGAGCAGAGAAGACTGCAGCAGAGTGTTGAACTTGTTCAGTTCTTCTTCCCCACCATCGTTCACCATTGATGTTTTCTTTCCTCTGTAATTGCTCCGAATTCCCACGTCTGGCTTTGTTCTCGTTTAAACCCTAGCACCATGGTAGCTAGGTTCACTAGTTTCTCATCGTCCGTCAATCTCAATTCCGTCGAACACTCTCTCGAACCGCAACTTCTCATTCTTGTTTTCGACTTGGGACATGCCCTTTCCGTGGAAGTCGAAGGAAGCTCTTCGCGGAAGCTCCGGCCAAGAAGAGCAGGAAGCCACCGCGACCACAGGAATCAGTCCTCAAACCAACCGTAGTCGAAGAGGTGTCGTCAACGACGACTGGGAAGAAGATCGGCTGCTCTTTGACGATTACGATCTCGACGAAGTAACTTATCGGCTGCTCTTCGCGATGGTGGCGGAGATGGTTTAAATAATTTTTTTATATGTTAAATTACCCTATTACCCTTAATGAATAATGTTGTTATAGTAACAATAAAAAAACTGTTGTTATAGTATCCGCTCCATGGATACTAGTGGATCCTATGCTCCTTGATACTTGATCATCCATTCTTAGCAACTGTACAAGTGCTAGTTGACATGCATGGAGCCTGTTCATATAAAAAGGGAATGAAGCCTGTTCATATTCCAGAAGATAAATAGATAATGATAACATTATGCATGCTAATCCCATAGAATTATTGTATTCAATAACTGCATGTGTTTCTGATGATTCGCTTCAGGTACGCTTAGTTCCAGGTTGCAATGAAGACGGAGATGGGTAGAGAAAGCATCCCAACGGGAATATTTTGAAAGGTGAAGGATATGTACCAAAAGAAGATGAATAGTTGGTCAATTTAAAACAATCTCGCGATCTTTAAAACATCTTAAGAAAAGTCCTTATCTTAGAACTCAAACCATTAGCCATTTTAATCACCCAACCTACACACTACGGTTTGGGAAATATTAAACCCAAACCCATCTAAAAAAATTAAAACCCTACGGTTTATTTCTAATTGGGTTGGGTCGGGTTGACGATATTTTTAAGTAAAGACTCAACCCAACACAAAATATGTAATTATTCTACACCATAAAGATATTTTATAACTAATTAAAATTCAAAACGAATAAACCGAGGTGAAAGATATCAAAATTCACAAATATTGTTTAAATTTTAATAAAATGTGATTTACTTCCACATATGTCTAGTTTTTTTTCCACTATATTTGTTGAAATAGGCTAAAAATGTTATAAACGAACGCATCCATAAGATGTTATTCTATTAAAATTGTACACAAGAAAAAAATTTACGTGAATCATAGCTATATTAAATCTATGTCTAAACTTTAAGCCGAAGAATGCATTAGATTAGGGAGACAAAGCGAGAAAAATATGGCGAAATATCTTAATTTTCTCATAAGTATGGTTATATACGACATAAATTTCTTTTGGATACAAATTCATACCAATAGTGGGAACACAGGTTGGGTCAGGTTCTACGGGTTGTGTAATCCAAAATCCAAACCCAACCGAAAAGAGGCGGGTTCTACAAAATAAAATCCTCACCCAACCCAAAACCTTAACTTTAGTGATAAATACGAGTGGGTTGGACGGGTGGATCGGTTTGCAGGTGTGTTTGTTCACCCCTACTGCTAGGTGCATGAATCATTTACCCCATCTTAGACAGTCTTTGGGTGAGTCCAATTCAAATGGTTCCCACGAAGGAGGGTATGATTGTGGTGCCTAACGAGAGTGGTACCTCATTCCCTCTCGAATAGTCACTTGGTGGAGAGTTTGTATTGACTCCATAAAACTTAGGGGTCGTTTGCTTGTGGGATTTGGGTGATGGATTTGGAACCCAAATCCAAAGCATCATGGAGTTGACACAAATCCTTTGTTTGTTGAGGGACACAAATCCGTGGGGTCCACGGATTTGGACCCTTTTTTAGATCCAAATCCGTGGACCCCACGGATTTGTAAATCCCACATTTCATTTGGAATTTGACAATAGAAGGAAAAAATGTGAGACAAATCCATCACAAATCCATGATACAAAATCAAATAAACAAACAATGTACTCTTCCAAATCTATGATGCAACAAATCCATAATAAATCCAAAGATTTTTAAAACTCAAAACCTTCATTTTCAAATCCAACAAGCAAACGAGCCCTTAATGACGTCACCCAAAATGATCATTTCTCCTAAGTCCTACCATTCATCGATAAGATGTTGGAAAGATTGGTATGACATGAATATTCATGTTTCCTAGATGAAATGTTTGGACATTTCCAAATCCCAATCAATCTAGTCTACCAAGAGAAGACAACATTTTGCATGCCCCTATGGTACTTCTGCCTACCAACGGATACCATTTGGTATGTGCAATGCCTCTACCACATTTCAATGTTGCATGATAACTATCTTTCACGTTTTACTAGAGGATTTGGTAGAGGTCTTCATGGACGATTTCTCATTCTATAGAGACTCCTTCTCCCAATGCTTTAGCCAATCTGAAGAAGGTTCTAATTGGTTGTGAGGGAACCCACTTAGCATTCAGCCGGGAACAGAGTCACTTCATGTTAACATAAGGGATCGTTCTGCGGCACAAGATCTCGAAAAAAGGAATCAAGGTAGATTAAGCAAAAATTGAAACAATTTCCAATCTACATTCTCCCACTTCCGTCAAAGCTTATGAAGCTTCTTAGGCCATGTAGGCTTCAATAGGTCATATTGTTTAGAATTTTTATATACAAGTTATAACTATTTATTTGGAATGTAAATATAAGAACCTAACGTTAAACTTCTATTTTTCCCTTTCAAAATTAGAAAGTAATTTGAATTCACTCTACTATTACCGACATAATAAGTCTTGCCTCTTAATTGGAAATTAGCTTGACTTTCATTATATCTTAAATTATATGAGATTTGATACAATTTATATATGTATGTTCAGCTTAATAATTTTTCATATATCTGGGCTAAAACAATATACCCATTAACCCTTGACCACATAGGCGGAGGCAGGCTACTTTGGATGTGTCCTAGGACCCAGGTGAAATTTGGGGTAGAGAAATAATACCTATATGTGTATTAAGTTAGAGGTGGAAATTGGTACGGTATTTGGTATCGGAATACCAATACCGAAATCTTAAATACGGAATTACTTCCTAAAATTAATATCAATCTCAATCCCTGAATATTTCGATATCTCAATCCCTAAATATTTTGGTATCACAATTGATATTATCGAATACAAAATTAATTACCTTTGCAGTTAATAATTAAATATATAAATTTAATTGTTTAATTTAGGGCAAAGAGACTAAGCAACGAGTATTGAGTTTGCATAGAGCTAGGATATGGATAAGGAGAATGGAGGAGAGGTGACATCTCAAAGTCTTGTCATTGGTAATCTTTAATATGACATATTGGAGGCTGAGAGACGACTAATACTAGTGTTTGTTTTTTGGAGTTATGAAAATAACAAGAGATTAGGTGAGAGACGAGAGTGACTTAGACTGGAAAGTCAAAATTGTGTTGGATGGGGGCTTCTAAGTTGTGAAAGAGTGAGGAATGACCTAAGTTTGTGTGCTATATTTCATTAATTTTTAACTTTTGGTATTTCGGTATATACCGACCCCAATCTCGTAATCCCGAATACCGAATAACACTTGAAAATGAATCCCAATCCCAATTCCTGAAAAATAAGCCGGTATTCGATAATACCTAATAGTAATAAATTCGGTACGGTATACAGTATATCCCAAATACTGGTACCAAACTTCGAGAGTATTGAACCCTTGACTTTTTGGATAATGAATAAGTATCATATCACTACACTAAAGATTATTTCTTATTTATTTTCAATTTTATTAATTTTAATTTTATTTTTTTATATTCTGAGATTAGGCCAATTTCCGAAATTATATATGTTCAACCCCCCTGCTGGCCATGACGGGGATTGTGTTGGACAGTAGAAAGAGAGAGAGAGAGAGTGAAAATGGAGACTGTGGGAGTATTTGGAGGTACCCGATTATCCGTCTCCTCATCCCTTCGTCGCTCCCCCGCCGGCGCTTTCCCCTGTAAGAAGCTGAACCTTCGGGCCACCGCCCAGCTAGCAGCATTCCGTTCCCCCTCCAATTTGTTCTCCTATTCTCCATCCCGTGTCAATGGCTTTCACAAGCCGCTTCCACGCAAGTCCACCAAATCCCATATCTTCCTTCCTCACCTGGTCGCTTCCATGGTAACTCTCCCTCTCTTCTCAATGTGTAATTCTGCCTCTGATTCTCAGTATTTCGTTCGAGTACCACTTTTTTGGGCCTCAGCAGCCATTGGTGGGGTTCTTGTTTTAGTTAGTTGACTTTGGTGCTTTGCAGGAACAAGTAGAGGAGACATACATTATGGTCAAACCAGACGGTGTTCAGCGTGGCCTCGTAAGTTCTAATTGGTTTCCTAGCTCCTGGGACTGCAAATAATGATGATAATAGTGGGTTTTGAGTTCATGAGACGTTACCTATGCAATTTTGTCTCTGGGTTGAGTTGGTTTTGTAGGTAGGGGAAATCATATCTAGGTTTGAGAAGAAAGGGTTTAAACTGAAAGCTTTGAAGCTCTTCCAATGCCCCAAAGAGCTTGCAGAGGTTGGTATTACAGCTACACTGCCCAGATTCTAAGTCTTCCTTTATACCTGGATTAAGTTTTGAGTTTGAATCATGAAGAAGCTCAACGACATCTTGATGCACTCTTGTTCTTGTTCGGCATTGAGTTACTGTAGGTGTCTGACTCTGTAGCTCTAATCTACATTTTTCATGGCATCGCAGGAGCATTATAAGGATCTCAAAGCCAAATCGTTCTATCCTAAACTGATCGATTACATCACTTCCGGTCCAGTTGTGAGCATGGTATGTATGCATGTTCTCTCTATATTTTCTATCACTCATCGTTGTTAGTATTTTCCTGTGTGTTGAGTTGATGTTTCCGATTGGTGATGTGGACTTTTAACTAGGCTTGGGAAGGTGTTGGGGTTGTAGCATCAGCCCGTAAGCTGATTGGGTCAACAGATCCTCTTCAAGCTGAACCAGGAACAATTAGAGGGGACCTTGCTGTCCAAACAGGAAGGTTGGCTGCTTCTTCAAGCTATCTCTATCAAATTGTTTTATTTTGCTGGTTTAAGTAACTCGTGCAATCAGTTTTACCCCTTCCTGTGATGTAAACAAATCTGCAGGAATGTGATTCATGGCAGTGACAGCCCTGACAATGGAAAGCGTGAAGTTGGTATGACAGCTAACATTATTGAATGATATCTCTTCCAAATTCACCTTCTATTGTTCTTGTATGGTCAGCCCTTGTCCCGGATTACCAAAGTAGTAACCAATAACTAACTGATAACTCACTCGTCAAAACAGTCCATAGTTAATTAGTTACCTCAATAGAAGGGTTAAGTGTGATAAGCAGCATCAAACACGGAAGGATGAGAAAACGAGTTATACTGATGGGAAATGCAAGATGATAGTACGCGTAGGGGAGAGGCAAAGAATCAGGTTCATGTATGGGTTATTGTCTTCCTTTCAATTTGGTCAGTTCATGTCCCATTTTCGAACTGGGTCTACGTCACAAGAATCGGAAATGTGTTGAATAGCTTTCATAATTGTCCTATTATATGAGGCACGGATTAGTAACATACATCTCCTACCCTTCAGATCTTCTAACCGATTTTGGTTACTGTTTCTCCAGGTCTGTGGTTTAAAGAAGATGAAATATGCCAATGGACTCCAGCTCAAGCCCCTTGGCTAAGGGAGTGAGCGTCAAAAAGAATCATGGATTTTTGGAGGCCTGCAGTTTTTGTATAAACTGTACTATGCTGCTTTCATTTCCTTAATAACACTACAGCTCAACAGTATTTGTGCCTACTGCAGCTTTGGTTTGAGAACCAAATGTGGGATTAAAGATGTAGGCAACGGCAGTCTTGACATCATTTTGGGAAATTGCAATGAGTTATGTGAGATGCGTACTATCCAAGATGTTGTGTGGTCCTTTTTCTGCTTATATATGCAAGAGATGCAAATGCTTGCTTTCTCTCTACCTTGTCTGTTGAACAAAATAGTAATCTGTTTGGTCGGAGTCGATCCACACCAGATTTTTGGTGCATTTAGAACCCCTAAATCTACCATAGACTTAAACATGGTGGATGAGCTTGGGCAAAATATGTCATTGCCTTTCATAAGCAATATTTTTGATAGAATGAGTACAAGAATACAAGATCAAGTAGGGTTTGCCTTCGTAAGCGCTGTAGAAGCAAAGGTAAAGAACTGAAACAATGCTGAAACATAGAATCAGCTTCTGGGTACAAATCAAAATTGTACATTTGACAAGGGATTCAAGAACTGAAGGATCAATCTGCAGAATAGCCATTGCTGCTGCTGCTGCTGCTGCTGCCGCCTCCCAAAGTCATAGAGGATGGAAAACCCACAGAGCTGGGGGAGTTATTTACAGACACACCGTAGTCCACGGTCATTGTAGTAATACCTCTATCAGACGAGATCGACTCGTCTTGTCGAGACACTTTGTACTTGGAGAAAAGTTGAAGAACTGAAACCTGGTGTTTCAGCTCGGTAGCATCACTTGAAGATGAAGAAATGGTGAAAGACGCACAACTTCCAGCCGCTGTTGTCGGTGGTTGGGAAGTAGAGTTGGCGGGGTTTAGTGGGATGGTGGAATTGAACCCGGGAGAAGTACCGATTGAAGGAGTCGAAGAAGAAGAAGAAGAGACGCTGTCGGTTTCGGCGTCCATTGGATCGTCATCAGGGTGAGGAGGCAAGAGTACGGCACGTTGAGAACCTAGCTTGAGCTTCATCAGCGTAGCTTCTGCAACAACATGAAAAATGAAATAAGGGATCTGGTTTTAAGACCCAGGAAAAATTAACGAGAACCGCAGCCCAGAAACTTGATAATTGAGGAATTGGGTGGAAACGAAGGATTACCGTAGACGGAGAGAGAATCGTCCTTTAAGAACTTGGAATGGGACCTCTCCATTTCCAAGCTGTCGAGCGAAGACGACGGCGGTCTCAGCCTTCCGAACATCTTTTCGGTTCCGAATCGCAGCGAGGCGGAGTAAGTTCCGGCGCGTCAACTTAGCTATAGATCGGATCGGGTTAGGGGGATGAGAGAGATTAGATCGAGCGGGGTTCTGTTTTTTCCCGCGAATTCGAGCTTTTGGCGCCACCAAAAATTGAGTGCCAGATGCGAGAAGCGGGAAGCCGGGAACCGTCGTACCTTGCTCTCCTTTTTCTTTCTAGTTTGGGATTGGTTAGCCTGACTACCCCTAAAGGGGTAGTGATTTTCGACACCCATCATCTAAGCCGTCCATTTTAGATAGTCTTAATCTAATGATAATTACAAACAGTTGGTAATTATTGTCTGACACATATTAATTACGGAAACTAGGACGTTAATCGAGGGCATTAATTGGCCTTTTGGTTTCCCTGCCAATTCAAAAGTAGTAAGAATTTTCTCTCCCCCTTTTATCTTTCCCAGACATCTCTTCCTCTCTCCCTGGGATCGCCTGGTGGGTTGCTCGTCGGAGGAGGAAGACACGCAGGGGATATCCCCGCCGCCCTTACAACAGGTCCAACCATCCATGTTGTCGGCCGTCGCCCGTCCTCCGTCTTCCATCCCAAACATCGGGCAGCGTCGCAGTGGGATCGCCTCCGACCCGCCTGGTGGGTTGCTCGTCGAAGGAGGAAGACACGCAGGGGATATCCCCGCCGCCCTTACAACATGTCCAACCATCCATGTTGTCGGCCGTCGGCCGTCCTCCGTCTTCCATCCCAAACATCACCTTCCAACGACTTCCTCTTATCCACGGCATGCACTTGATCTTTTCCTGTTGACCACCGTCCTTCCACGGTAGAGATTCGATCAACCCTAAGTGGCGGCGACAGGATCTGAAGGTGAGGGTGGTACCACTAGGCGGCAGAGGAAAAGCACCAGTGGAGTGGTACGTGTACCAGTGGAGTGGTACGTGTACCAGTAGAGTGATACGTGTACCAGTGGAGTGATACGTGTACCAGTGGAGTGATACTAGTAACCATATGTCCTGTTTAGGCTTAAAAAAATTGTGAAGACTTTATGTTTATTCACATTCGAAAGATAATTTATTGCTTTTGGCATTGTTGTTGGCATTTCCCTGATTTTGCAACCCATTTTGGAACACAGTTTTTGGCTACTAATGGAAAGTTCCTATTTTGTTGACCGATTAAAATGTTTATTGTGTTGCTTGTGCCAGAATTATATTTCATGATCAAGTAAGTATGAGTATTGGTATATTGAGGACAGTCTTAATTAGTACCAGTTCAGTGGTATAAGTACCACTATAGTGGTATAAGTACCCGTTAATTGATATGTATACCAGTCTAGTGGTATAGTACAAGTTCAGTGGTATATTGTACCAATGAAGTAGTATGATTACCGCTGAAGTTGTGCGAAAACCATTTCTATGTCATTACTCGTCGGCAAAGATATTTCCATGACATTGAAAGAAGTTAACGAATAATTATGACAAAAGAAAAATAATAAAATTAATTCCAAACTTCAAAAGTGGTGGAGACCACAATATTTCCATGACGATGTATTCCTTAGTTGAGGTAGCGGAGGTAGCAAAATCAGGGAAATGCCAACAACAATGCCAAAAGCAATAAATTATCCTTCGAATGTGAATAAACATAAAGTCTTCACAATTTTTTAAAGCCTAAACAGGACATATGGTTACTAGTATCACTCCACTGGTACACGTACCACTCCACTGGTACACGTACCACTCCACTGGTACATGTACCAGTCCATTGGTGTGTTTCCTCTGCCGCCTAGTGGTACCACCCTCACCTTCAGATCCTGTCGCCGCCACTTAGGGTTGATCGAATCTCTTCCGTGGAAGGACGGTGGTCAACAGGAAAAGATCTAGCGCATGCCGTGGATAAGAGGAAGTCGTTGGAAGGTGATGTTTGGGATGGAAGACGGAGGACGGCCGACGGCCGACAACATGGATGGTTGGACCTGTTGTAAGGGCGGCGAGGATATCCCCTGCGTGTCTTCCTCCTCCGACGAGCAACCCACCAGGCGGGTTGGAGGCGATCCCACTGCGACGCTGCCCGATATTTCCGATCGCCGTCGATTTTTGCAGAGTAGAGAGTCGGATTGCTATTTGGAGAAAAAATGGGGAATATTGGACTTGGAAGAGCAATCGACGCTTTCCCCATCCAACAAGATTGCTCCTTCCCAATTAGTTTTTAATTATTATTGATAACTTTCCCAAATTACAAGATTATGAAAAAATACAAAAAACAAATGTAATTAATAATTGTCAAATGATTGAGAAAAAATCTGACCAATGAGAAAGGGGTGTCAAAAATCAGACCCCTTTGGGGGTAAGCATAGTATCCGACCCCTTCTAGTTTTGGTATCGTTTGCTTGTGGATTTGGGTGATGGATTTAACACCCAAATCCCAAGCATCAAGAATTTGATATAAATCTATTGTTTACTAATGGACACATATATGTGGAGCCCACGGATTTGGACCCCACGGATTTGCAAATCTCACGTTTCATTTGAGATTTGATAATAAAAGGCAAAGTTGTGAGATAAATCTATCATTAAGGGGTTGTTTGGAAGTTATAATTCTAAATAAATGATTCTTTGAATTCATGTATTCTCGAGAATCTATCTTTTTTTGTTCCAAAACTTTATTCAATACATGCATTTGAGGTGGGTCTTCAAATCTTATTTCACCCACAATCACTCATTTTAAATCTCAACAAAAAAGTGAGATTCTTCCTTTGAGATTATGAGCTTTAAATTGTTCCACTTTTAGCTAATAAAGTGATTTTTTCTTTTCTTTAATTTTTTTGAGTTGCTACAAACAAATGAGACATTCTTCCAATCATCTAATTCTTCCAATCTTTGTATTTACAATACATCTATTCACGGAATACACATATTTGAAGAATCTCAACCTCCAAACAACCCCTAATTCATTATAAAACAAACAATATACTCTTTCAAATTCATCATAAATCCAAAGGTTTTCAAAACCCAAATCCCTCATTTTTCAAATCCAACAAGCAAACGAGCCCCGTTTCACTTTCTCCAGAGTGAGGAATTTGATTAGTGATGGCAAACACGTGGGTGAAGCAAGTATCTCAATATCCATTTTTGTCTCGCATCAAGTGTGGGTCGGGGCAGGCAGGGCCAGTTAAGAGGGTGTGCTAGCCGGCCCTCCGGCACAAGGCTCCAAATATCAGGGCCTTCAAATAGATCCATTACTTAATTTGATCACATATTGTATGTTGTATTTCTAGTATATTAGTTAACTAAGTGATTATGAGTATGGTGATTAGTTTAATTATATTAGTTAATATTAGTGTTAGTTATTGGTTAATATTTTCATCTATATATACACTAGATATGTATGTTGGGAATTTTTCCAATATAACACCCAAAAACTAAAACAATTCAAAATACCACCCTTTCAAAAAAAATTCCATTCATACCACCAATTCACAAGCACTGCATAACCCCATGACGGTTAAAACGAGGACCACATGGGGTGTTGCGGCTTCCGTTTTTGTGGCCAACAGAACGCGTGGGGTCGCTATAATCCGATTGACTGCTGGATCCCCCCGCGATCCAGTGGCTGACTGTCTCAGCGATCTGCGGGACCGCTTCCTCTATGTTTATTTTGGTATCTAACTATGAGACTTCTCGTGTCGGAATGTGGTGTGCGTCATTCAAAACCTCTATTCATTGTTTCAGCGTCAACAACATATCGAACATCCTTCTTCGTACCAAATTGTTGGCATGTCTTAAACCCGGTGGCTGGACCCCATATTGGCACCCCTGGCCGCTTCATGTTGGCATCAACACAACAATTTTCATTTGGAATGATCATGTTGTACGGGATAGCCACACGGTCACGGGACACCTCATCATCATTTGAGTCTAAATTTGAGCCTGAATCATCAGCACCTTCAAGAGGATCGAAGCTGTTTACACTGACGTTTCCTTCCTCTTCTTCATCTTCACAGCCACTAACTGCCCAACTTCTTGAAATATATCTGATATAGAAATAATAGTAACTATTATTATAGCATCTTTGTTTGAAACCCAGCTTCTTGGAACACATCTGATATAAGAAGAAAATTACTATCATTAATCAATTAGTGTTGATATTTCGAAGAAATCAGACTTTCATCTGTTTGCTTATTAGTTTTTCAAAATACAGTTTCAGCAGTAGCAGTGATAATCTTTCATCTCATCTAGATCATGCAAGTTATCGTCATCAGATCCGTAATGGTAGTTGTGATAACTACCGCTGTCTCCATGGAAGTTGTACTCAGGTTGGTACTGGTAGACTTCTTGTTGGTTGTCATGTTATCGTTGGGGTTCTTTTTCGTATGATGAGAAGGGTTGATGATGATGACCTCCACCTCCTTGTTGTTACTCATGTTACCGTTGAGCTTCTTCTTCATATGATGGCCTCCGCCTCCTTGTTGGTACTCATGGTACCGTCCTTCTTCTTCATATGATGGGAAGGATTGATGATGATGACCTCCATATCCTTCTTGGTACTCATGGTAGGATTAATGATCATGGTAGCCTTGGTAGGGATGATCCTCATATACTCCACCCCCACCGTGAATACCAGATGTTTGGCCACCTCTAGGATGACTTCCACCGCCTTCAACCTCCTCGGTGTAGACAAACATCTATGCTTTGGAAATTTTATTGACATTCAGAAAATCAAGCATGACATCAATTTCCTCCTTGGTGGTTAAGAGCAATTCCTCATACCATAACGACCCGCCTTCTCTGTTTGGATACCGGTACACCATACGATCAATTTTCCTCGTGCCCTCCATGTAAGTAACTGTAGTACACATATGACGGAGCTCGTCAAGGTTCGGTCGCGTACCGACCTTCACTTTATGAAAATAACCACCTACATAACGTACCCCTTTCCAGTATCTTCCGTGTAACAATAACACCTAAAATGATGGTATTGAACCCTCATTTATTAAGTGTTTTAGTACCATTTTGAACTTTGGATTGTTTTATGCATTTGCTTCTTATTTCTCTTCCTTTTGGGCTTTTATTTTGCTTTAGGATTGCATATGGTGTTACAAGCAAAATTATGGGAGAAAATGGGCAAACGTGTAGGAATATGGAGTACATTAAGAAATCACCAAGATCGCAGCTGAAAGGCACAAGTTCAAGACCGAGAGCTTAGGCCACGATTTTGGGCCCCTTGACCGTGAACTTTAGGAGGAAGCGTCGCCTGAAGAACATAAAGTTTTGCTACCCATTTCGCGTTCCACGTTGGTTGCAATAGCAAAAAAGATCACAGCCGCAAGACAAAAGTTTGCGCCCGTGATCTTTCTCTTATAGCCATGATCGTGCCTGAGATTTCCAGCACCTATAAATAGAAGTGTTGTTGGAGGAACAAAGGAGAGCCAACCTAGAGTGAGAAAGTTAGGGTTTTGAGCTGCTTATAGAGAGAGAAACACATTGGGTTGACATATTTGAACTTGATTCAATCACTCACTCTCTTCTAGATTGTGTTCTCTCTCTCTCTCTCTCTCTCTCTCTGACTTGAGTCTCTAATGGTTGTTTAGGAAAGATGAACCCTAGATTCTAGAATGTGTATGAATGGGTTTATGAATGGATGTGTTTTTATTGCTCATGTAAGCTTAATTATGCTTGGGTAAGTTGCCCTAACCTTCTGTACTATTCTATAATGAGCTACCGCGTTGGATAGGAGTTTTAGAGTAAGATAGATAGCATCAATTGGTAGATTAAGGATAGATGAATGATTTTAGGGTACTATAGTGGACGAAGCGACTGAACCCCTGCTACAAGAACGCCTCTTAGGACGAAGCTTTAGAGCTTCGCAAGCGCACAAATCCAATTATTTGGCGTGCACGATAGGCAGTACCTATTGAAATGATCTAGATGTTTAATGCCCCAGATACGTGGGCCTTTACTAAGGTGACAATGGGTCTTGGTAGGGCGTACTCAGAGGGGTGGGATAAACATAGAAGCCCATGGAAAAGAGCTCAATCACCATATCCGATAAACCCAACATATCAACTATAGCGAGGGGAAGTCAATCGTAGGCAACCATCGTATCTCTAGAGTTCTCCCAACCACTTGGTTGGTTGTTTCGTTTTTAGTTAGGTTAGATTAGATTAGATTCTCCACCAAACCCTTTGATTCGATTAGATAGTAGTTTCGGAGCGAAGTATTAGTAAGCTCAGGGTTCCCTTGGAATATGACCGAGCCACTTAATTGTTAGAGAACTAACCACTTGGCTCCAATAACTCGAGTTGTTGTTGAAAAGGTTATACTGAATCTTATACCACTCTCTAATACGCCCACTCAAACGAAAGGCAACTCATGGGGTTGAAGTTTGCACAAGCAATCACCATATCTTGTGCTTTAGTCAACTGTTAATATTGGGGGTCGTGGTCGTGGAGATTCAAACACACGACCACTTAACCAAACCAGCTCTGATACCATGTCATAAATCAACTCTGATCTAAACCCTGCGATACCTTTTCAGGAGGTTCAGTTTTCCAGTCTTGATACTAAGTAACCATTCGTTCTAAGCTCACATTAAGTGACCTGTCCGTAGCCAGCTCATCTTTCTGAATATTCTACGACCATGTCTTAGCAATGCCCGGGACCAAATCCAATCTTTTTAACAGCTCGCGGGAAGTGCTAACACCGTAGGAGTCTTGAGCCAGGGCAGGGGCTGGGACTGTTGCTTTCCGGCAGAAAAACCAACAGTCACCAGCGATTTGTACCATGCCTTCTGAACTTTCAATCCCTTGACGGTTACCTTCATGGCTTCATCAGGTCGGAGCCGAAATTGGAATTGATGAGAGAGAGAACCAAAAGGGTTAAGTCGTTGATAAAATTTCCTTTTCTATGAATTTTTTTCCTTTTTATTAGTTTAGGAATTCCTAACCAACCAATCCCGTGTAAAATAAAAACCAGACCAGTTTGAGTTACTCCGGTTTAACCTTTTGGCGGCATTCGTGCTGCTACAGCACAGTAGAATTCCCGTTTACTAACCCTAACTAATAATTAAAGAATAAGAATGGGAGAGAATCCGTTTGACCAAGATAAATCTCAAGCAAAAGATAGCTAGAAACAATGAGAAAGAGAAAGCCCAAATCATCAAAGTAGTACGTACTACCGCAAAACCATAAATTTAGAATTTCTTGACCTTAGTGGTAATTAGTATCTATTGTAACTGCGGTACGTAATTGGCTATATTACGGTCTAAGTTCCTTCTTTCTAAGGATAATTAAATCTCTAAGTTATATTCCTTTTCCTTATTGGTTTCGTAATTCCTATTACTTCTATGTAACTTCTGTAATTCTGTTGGCTATAAATATAAGCCCTAGCTATCAGTAATACACAACAACACACAGTTCATAGCCTTTCCACGTTTGTGCGTGCTACCGCCGTCGATCTCCGCATCCTTTTAGCATACACGTCTCTCTCACTCACTCTAGCGAACAATGATAAAGTCCTCGTCTCTCTTCGTCGCCGTTGTTATCTTCTTCCTCGCCGCCACATCGGTCGCCTCTGCCTCGCAGCCGTCAGTGTACCGCGTGACGGACTACGGCGCCAGGGCGGACCCCAAAACAGACTCTACGAGCGCGTTATCCGATGCATGGAGGAAAGCATGCAGCGACCCGCGCCCGTCCGTCGTCTACGTGCCGCACGGAAGATTTCACGTCCGAAACCTAGGGTTCGAAGGGCCGTGTAGGAGCAAGGACATCTTGGTGCGCATAGACGGAACCCTCGTGGCTCCGTCCGACTATTCCGTCATTGGGAACGCCAAGAACTGGATTCTGTTTCACGACGTTGATGGCGTTAGGATCTCCGGCGGGATACTTGACGGACAAGGAACCGGACTTTGGTCTTGCAAGCTCGACGGCCGTAAAGACTGCCCCACCGGCGCCATGGTAAGTTTTGCTTCTTTCCCACTGCTCATTAGGTCATTATGCTTTTCACCTAATCAATTTCACTATTAATTGTTACGTGACTTATGGATCCTACGTGTTTTTTTTTTTCTCATGCAGAATTTGCATATCGCCAACTCAAAGAACGTGGAAATCGATGGTCTGACCTCCATAAACAGCCAGAAGTTCCACATCGCCGTCACCGGATGCCAAAACGTGAACCTCCGCGACATCACCGTCGCCGCCCTAGGAACCAGCCCCAACACAGACGGCATCCACATCGAGAAGTCCACCCTCGTCTCCGTCCTCAACTCCACCATATCCACGGGCGACGACTGCATCTCCATGGGCCCGGGGGCCCGCAACGTCTGGATCGAGCGTGTGGCTTGTGGGCCGGGCCACGGCATCAGCATCGGGAGCTTGGGTTGGAAGTTTCAGGAGCCCGGTGTCCAGAACGTCACCGTCAAGAGAGTCCACTTCACACTTCACAGAGACGACTAACGGCCTCCGAATCAAGACGTGGGCCCGCCGCAGCTTGGGGTTCGTGAGGAACGTTCTTTTCCATCACGTCGTCTTTGACGGCGTCAAGAACCCAATCCTCATCGACCAGAACTACTGCCCCGGACGCCGTAACTGTCCCCGTCAAGCCTCCGGGATCAAGGTCAGTGACATCAGGTACAAGAGCATAGGTGGCACGTCGCAGAGCAAGGTCGCAGTGAGGTTCGAGTGCAGCAAGGCAAACCCCTGCGCTGGGATTACGATGCACGACGTGAAGCTTACTTACGTCGGCGGTGGCCGTGGTGAGGAGGCGATGGCCACGTGTGCGAATGCGAGGGGTACTTCGTCGGGTTTTGTTACGCCGGTAGTCCGGTATTCGTAGGGCATTTCAGTATATATATATATATAGTTACGTTCCTAGCCACGAAGTTTAATTAGGCCGTATATACTTTGGTTGTTGAATATACCGACCTAAGACGCTCGGGCTTGTTTATTATGATACATGTTTTATTCATAATTTCCAGTTACGGAGCGATTTTATTTTCGAGCCATTTCTTTGTTTTCTGCATGGTGTGGTGAGTTTGATTTTTGTGTTTGGCTTCTTTCGGAGCTCAAGCTCATATAACGTGTTTTTTTTATTGATAATGTATAAGTCATCTTTTTATTTAAAAAAAATTATTTTATGTGTCGAGTTATCAATCTCGTACGATGTAAATACGAAAATATTATTGTTAAAATCATGCATATCCACTTAATTAGGGATCAAACTTCTCTAGTATAAACAAAAACAAATCACCAACATAAATGATGCATCATAAGACAACTTTTTACACTTAATTGCAAGCTTGATGTCTCATCAATTGCCCGACCAGACCGATATTATTTTAGCAAAATGTATCTACGGTTTGTATGCTATAATTTGATCAAATCACATTACATCAAACGGACGGCGGACTTTAAGTTGAAAATTGTGTCATGATGTCAGCTGGCAGTAGTCATAAGAATTCTCATCGCAGGGATACGATCAACACTTTTTTACGTATTATTACCTTCTGTCGAGTGAAATCGTCTGTTGAGCAATCACGACAGCTTGGAGTTGGGTTATGCTATACCTTATTCTCGTAGCTTAGGAGTCCATATCCATCATGCAGAACCTCTCCTCAAAGAGTAAACCAACTTGTATAGAAATCCATACTCAACTCATCTACTAAGGCAATTGCTCTCCATAATTTTTTTTAGTGGGACTCCACAACATTCAATGACTCAAAGAACCAATAAATTAAGTTAAGTGAACGGTTATTGGCCGCCAACACAATTACTATTTGTCGCCTATTATTTTTTGATTTTTCAAATTTCGAATTTCATTTTTAGAAAACCATACATTCATAACATTATTTTACATTCCCAACAAATTAAAATGCATAATACTTGCGTAACATCATTAATATGCACATAATTAATGACATCGACACTTCTTTAATTAAATTGGACTGTCCGATTTGACACTCCTTTTTTATTCTCTCGTGATAAGTATCTTTTAATTTGGGCTTGAAATTCGATCCAGGTTTTCTGGTCAAACCGAAAACCGACCAGTTCCCTCCCCAATCAATGTAGAACATGTGTGCTTAATCGACATGGAATTGATGTTTAGTTGACCGTTAATCTCAAATAAAAAAAATATTTGCATGTTGTCGAATGAGTAAAACATCCTACAAAAATATTGTTGTGTATAGTCAGTTGCAATATCTTAACGCAACACTTTTACTAGGGTTGCTTAATTTATAATGGGGTTGCAAAAGGTGTACACAACTATTTTTTTCATTTTTGAAACTAAAATAAATAGGTTTTCATATAATTACCTCTTATGTAAACCATTTTAGACAACACATTTCAAACTTGTTGCAACATATTTTGGGAACATCGACAACATTTTTTACAAGTTTTTGCTACCTTTAAGTTTCATCAGTGACGAGTCCAAACCATCACAATGATTATTTCAATTGTGACAATTTTATTTGTAACAAATGCTAAGATTTGTGTTAAGCATAGCAATCTCTTCATCAACATCATCACCTAACTCACATTCATCATTTCGAGATGATGTTTTGAAAGCCAGATTTCTTTTTCCCTTGCTATCATCTTTGTTTATTTGGGTTAAGACTTCTCGTGACTAAGAAGAGAACACATGAGATTTTCAATAGATAAGCTATTCAAATATTTAGCTTCTTCAATAGAAGTTGTTTTAGGTATCCATCCCTAAAAAGAGATCTAAACAATTTTCATAACTAATCGTTACTAGAGAAAATATTACGCTCCTAGACCTTGGAGTCTATTCATAAGATCTGTATACCTTTTGTCCAGATAAGAAATAGTTTGTCCTTGATGCATTTTGAATGACTCCCATTCACTTAAAAGAACATCAATTCTGATTTCCTTACTTCGTTTGTGCCTTCATGTGTGGTTTCAAAGATGTCCCATCACATATCATGAGCAGTTTCCCACTTTGTGACATTGTCCTTGTCTAGAAGAGACATCAGACATAATATGATATGCATAGCTTTGGAGTCGAGTTGATCACTTTTCTTTTGGTTTGCATTTTAGAAATCTTCAATATCCTTCTCATTCTCTCATGGCCAGCTAAGCTCTTATGTTTGTTGATTCAATGATGTGAAGTACATTTTCTGTGAATTAATAAGATGCCCTAAAGCATCAATGGTCTCTCTTGGAGCATCGCTGGTTTCGTTTTGTGTATGCTTGTTATCATGTTATGATGCATTACTATGTGTATTGACTATACTACTAATTTGATAAATAAGGAAACTAATATCAAGTAGTAAGCATCATTTTTAGGCGTGTACTAGAAGGAAATTACAATCTTTTAGTGCTCGAATGATGATGATGCTTGATGTCTAAAGATCCTCAATACCGTAGACCATCGTCATGGTTAGTAGAAGTCCACAATTGACGAAGTGGTATCCTTACTTCCCTTATCTTCATCAATTGGTTGATGGCATGGAGCAAAATCACGTATCAGCTAGTTAAATTCCTACCACAAGAGGCTGCGCATGGGTAGGGAATGACCTTAGAGGAAGGGATAGAATGTTAACACAACATCGATGTATATAGGCATCTTGCTAAACAGAAAGGTATGTATGCTTATCTAGTGATACATCATGAACAACTTGTTTCTCTTTTTGTTTACTCGCTTGTTTACTTTGCTTTCTTTTATTTTCACAATGATCAACTCGATTTTTAGGGAATCTCAAATCATTGATTTACGTTCTATCATTACATTCAATCACTTGAGCACCTAGTTTTGAGTAACTACCATCAATAGATCTTGTGGAATATGACCCTAGGCACACCTAGGTTATTACTTCTGTGTTTTCTACATCAGAGGCTTGACGCTTCCATCTCCATAGAACCATTATTGCTTTGGTGTCACTGTTGCATACCCAAGTCTTGGTTCCCCACTTCTATTAATCAACTGTTTGATTTGAATGGTCTTGATGCTTGATTCCAGGATGGATGATTTGAAGACATGAAAGCGTTGTCGTGTTGACATAGGATGGGAGGCTTGAAAACGTCGTCGTGTTGAAGTCGAACAACAATAACTGTTCCACTCTTAGAAAGAGGTGTACATGTACCTAATTAACACATCCTCATCTTTAATTTCAATTGCATATCGTTTATTGACAATAATTCACTAAACCGATTATCATGCCCAACATATCTATATATGGAATGGGTTAGTTTCATTTTTTTTTTTAGATTATTAAGTTGTGAATGCATGGGAAGAAGTATCTCTTATTTTCCCTTTTCATGGTGAGTGTAAGTCTTGGGAAAGAGTTTCTAGTTATAGAATAGATTCCGCGGAGATAGGTGCTTAAAATATATTTCCACCCTAGATTTTTATTTATTATGTAAGGACATCATCATTGAACTATTCATACAAATACAGTCTAAACCTGGAAAAAAGAATCTTGAAAGCAACCAATTCCGCGCTCTATGTTTATGATAGAGTGATTGATATTAAGGAAGTGGTTGGGTGCATGGACTAATATAATTGGCCCAACCAGCGACTTACTTAAATATTACTTGCCCTATGAGAAGAAAACACACGAGTAGGGTTTTGGTGAAGGATCTCAAAACCTTGAGAGCTTCATTTTCTGGATTTTCATTATATACACAAGCCTGTACACAACAAACACAAAACCTAATGGCTAATTAACAGTAAGAGAAAAATAATTATCAAAACAAACGAATCAGAGTGCGCCAGGTGTTCTATGTACAGTGCTTGATTCCTAATAAAACGAACAAAGCAAAACGTTGTCGTCTGGCTCTGGTATTCTCTTCATCAAGGAAATGACTCCATGCTGGACTAAGCACTGTCTCTGGATTAAGGAAGAACGTCGTCGTTTCTCCGTGAGAGGGTTCCTTCGACTGCACTCTTCCTTCGTTAGCAGCAGCAGCTTCATTTCATCATTCCTTCAAGCTCCAGCTACTGCTGCTCAACCCAATCACTCTGTCCCCCCCCCCCCCCAAGTTGGCGAGTATCTACCTGATACTCCCAGCTTGAAGAGTAGTATATTGAACCGATCAATACCAAGACTTTTGTAAACAAATCTGCAAGTTGATAAGTAGTAGAGACATTATGTAAATCAGTCAAACCATTAACAAACCTCTCTCGAATGACATGACAATCAATTTCGATATGTTTGGTTCGTTCGTGAAATACTGGATTCCCAGCAATATGGATGACAGACTGGTTATCACAATACACTTGTGCTAGTTGTGAGAATGAGTTACCCCAAAATCAGAAAGAAGCCTAACCAACCATTGAATCTCACAACTCAAAAGAGCCAATGCTCTGTACTCTGCCTCTGAGGATAATCTGGAGACTGTGCTTTGTTTCTTTGTCTTCCAACTGATCATATTTGTCCCAAAAAAACACACAAAAACCTGTTTGTGATCATCTTGAGTCTGGACAAGTAGCCCAATCT